TGTTTTTTAAGCATATTCAGTGGTTAGCCATGGCCTTAAAACTTAGATGGGTGTGTGTTTTGGTATTTTTTATGTTTTCTGATTGCCTCCAGGTAGATGTGATCAGGAGAGCTTCCCTTTTCAGTATTCTTCCTGAAAAATTGATGTTACTGTTGGTCGTTATGACGTAACTCAGGATTTAATTTTCAGCCTGTTTCCTTTTTAGTCTGCCTGTCCTGCTCCACAATCTCTGTTCAGGCCGTTTTTCCTAGTGATAAACAGCTCAGGGCCGGCTGTAGCCAGTTTACACTGCTGTTTGGTTTTAAGTGGAAACTGTTAACTTTAAATTTCAAGATCTGTATGTATGCATACTCTCTGGGAGTGTATGGGGGTTGTCCACTTGCTCAGGCACTCCCTCTAGTCACCAGAATGGAGGTGCACAGAGAGCAAGAGGCCAATAAACAGATATGAAAAAAAAAAATGTCCACACCTTTATCTTCGCTGTTCTGTCAGGTGTCAGTGGCTGCTCTGATCCTTCCCCAGTTTGGTCTTACCCAAGATGGCGGCTCCGGGAGCAGCTGAGTGCCTCAGATTAGAAAGCACTGGATTTCTTGCTTCTGCTACAAATTCCAATGGCTGTAAGCCTTCCAACCTTCTAAATATTCCTTTATAAGTGGTTCACAGTTCTGGAACCATCCCTTGAGCCTGCTTGGTCCGGTATTCTGTGTTGTTGCTGACAGAGCTTCTCACTGCGCGTGTACCCGATCTGCCATCTTGCTTGTTCTCCATGCAGGCTATAAACTTTACATGAGAAAAGGCCAGGTCTTTTTTCCTGTGTTGTGTTTGAACTGTGTAGATCCTTCAGTTAGCAACCAAGCACTAAAACCAAGCCTACTCTTTCTGAATTGATTCTGATTTATAACAAGGTGTTGGAGGATAATATTGAAAGTGCCATGGGCTGCCAAAAGAACCAAAAAATCCATTTTGGAAGAAGTGCAGCCAGAGTGCTTCTTGGAGGCCAAGATGGCCAAACTTCTTCTCTCATACTTCAGACATATTATCAGGAAGGACAGAGAAAAAGACGAAGACCCCCCAATGAGATGGATTGGCCAAGTGGCAGGATCAGTGGAGTCAAGCATGGCAACAGTAGTGAGCCTGGCCCAGGATCAGGCACTGTTTCATTCTGCTGTGCATAAGGTTGCTATGAGTCGGTGCCGACTTGATGGCACGTAACAACAACAATACAGAATTTCCAAGACTGTAAATCTTTACGGAAACAGACAGCCTCATATCATTCCTGAGGTGCAGCTGGAGGGTTTGAACGCCCAACCTTGTGGTTAGCAGCCCAATGCCTAACCCACAGCACCACCAAGTGAATACAGGGTAGGAACATAAAAACATGTACCTGCTACATATTAAAGTCTAATATAGAAGCAGCCATCCAAGGCACAACAATTGAGCTCTATTCATCTGGAGCAACAGAAAAAGGAGAATCGGGAATAGGAGGATACGGAGCCCTGGAAGCATATGAACTGGGCTTCTAAATGCAAGGTCAGCAGTTCAAATCTACCAGTTACTCCATGAGAAGAAGATTAAGTTTTCTGCTCCCATGATCATTTTCAGCCTAAGAAACCCTATACAGGGTCACTATAAGTTGCAATCAACATGCCAACACACAACCACCATGGAATGTGTGGCTGATTGCTTCTGTGAACAACTGCCTTCTCTGACATAAGACCAGAAGAACTGGATGGTGCCCAGCTAGTATTACTGAACATTGTGATCGAGATTCCATTGACAAATCAAGCACAGAATATAACTAATACAGGTATGCCTTGCTTAATATCCACATAATGTTCTGTGAAATAGGACATTATGTGATTTGGATCTTGTGTGAACACCATACAGGCAGGCTCTGTGTAATCTCTAGTTAAATCTCTTAAAGCACACAATATTAAAACCTTAAAGCTGTATCCCTGGCTGCAGCTGTTAGTGCAGCCATTTTATGACCATGTCCAGCCACTGTCCAGAGCTAGAGCATCCAGGTGGCCAGCACAGCTATTGAGAACTCAGTACTACAAGGACTGGTATATAACTTGCTCGTCATGCTCAGGTTTGGAATTCTTTAAAATCATTGTGTTGTTGTTGGTAAGTGCCATTGAGACAGTTCTGACTCATGTTACTGTTGCTGTTAAGCGACCCTGTATTGGGTTTCTAAGGGGCAGCTGGTGGGCTTGAACCATCAACCTTGTGGATAGCAGTCCAGTGCTAATTCTACAGCACCAAACCAACACTCCTTCAAACCATGAAGGATTAATGGTAAACAAACGGAGAGCTGCTTTCCATTAAAAACAAAAACACTTTATGTGACCACAGATATCTGTGTAGTTGGATGTTCCCTGAAAGGGTGTTAACTGGCACATACCTGTATTCAAGTATGTTCACAGAATTAAAATAAACAACTGTCAACTTTCCCTGGAAGCTGGACTATAAGTATATTATTATTCTGCAATTTCCTGCGCATATAAAATAGGCTTTGTTTTTGTTAAGTGCCATCGAATCGGTTCTGACTCACAGAGACCTGATATAGGGTTTCCAAGGAGCAGCGGGTGGGTTTGAACCGCCAACGTTGTGGTTTGCAGTTCAGTGCTGATCCTACAGCGCCACAAATGGGCTTTACATACTCTATAGGGCAACGATTATAATATTTACAACATTCCCTTAGGGAAATAACAATAGTTGTCAGGACACTGAAAATCAGCACACAAGTAGCTGAACCTGAAGACTACATTTGCATCAGACTGTGGAGGGAGGGTCTAAGTCAGGTCCAATTCTAATTATGTTGTCAAGCGCTAATAATGAGTATGCTCACACTCATAGGGACCCTGTATAGGCTTTCCAAGGAACTTCTGGTGAGTTTGAACTGCCGATCTCGTGGTTCGCAGTCCAGTGCTGATTTTACAGCACCACACCTGGGGTCCAATTATAATTGTTGTTGTTAAGTGCCGTTGAGTTGGTACCAACCCGTAGCAACCCTGTATAGGGTTTCCAAGAAGCAGCTGGTGAGCTTGAACCGCCAACCTTGCCGTTCAAATCAACTTTGCATTCTGGAGCATTAACTAATCCACAGTGCTACACCAGGACTCCAATTCTAATTCCAAGCACTATCAAAGAATTCTACAAAACGTAGGAAGTAAATTGTCTCAACCCTCCCTGATCTACGAAACTTTAGCCATGACAGCTCTGCAGCAACGGGATTGGATGTGAGGGCAGGAAGGACTGGCGGTTTTTCCAGCAGTAATTAAGGGCCTGCCGGTAAAGTCCCGGGGGCAGGCACGTCACCGCGGTCGGTTTGGGGGCTGCAGTCCGAGAGAGAGGGACCCCGGCGGGCGCGAGGTGAGGTGGAAGGGCCGCCCACCCTCCTGACTCACCTGCGTGGCCGACAGCCGTTCCCGTACCTCTCGCATCAAGAACGGCTCCAGGCCGCGGCCCACGGTGCAGAAGAACCGGACTCCGTTGCCCAGCGGCGAAAAAGAACCTGGGCCGGGTCCCAAAGGCACAGGTCCCGAAGACCCGGGCTCCCCCGGAGTCCCGGACATGGCGGCCTGAGCGCGGCCCCTGATCACGTGGCCAGAGGCGCACGCGGGCGCGTTCCTGCGCTTAAGGCGGCGGCGCGCAGGGGCAGGATGTGCCCAAAGCAGGTTCTGGTTTAAAGAGAGCCCTAGAAGATGACTCGAGTACATGAGGAGTACCCTATAGGGATTCCTTGGTTCACTACCAAAGACTTCCTTGATTAGAAATCTGAAATAATTTCGAATCACAGAATGACAATGAAAGGGACAGAGTTGATCAATTAATACATCTGCCTCGTTTTCAGAGAGGCCAAAGGACAGCAGCATCGTTAGAGCAAGTATTAGCTTGTGTTTGGTAGGTTCTCAGTCAAGGTATGCAGAATTGGAGGAGATGTGATGAATTCAAAGGATCCAACAAACTTAAATGCTTCTAGGAGGGATTGCAACTACTACCGTATCAGCAGGAGTTTTTACGGATGGACTATGAGAATAGGATAGGAAAGTGAGGGCCAATGGAGAGCCCTAATGGGCCAGGCGGTTATTGTTAGATGTCCCCAGTCCATTTGGGCTCAGAGGCGTCCTAAGTAACAGAGTAGAACTGTCCCATAGGGTTTTCTTAGCTGTAACCTTTTGTAGGATAACCTACAGTGTTAGCAGTTCAAACCCACTAGCAGCCCAGTCAGCGAAAAGT